CCACTTCACTTCTGAGTGGTTGGCCCGACAAATCGTGGCTTCTCATCAGGACTTCAGGATATCCATGTCTTAGCATGTCATCAATAAACACTATGCAGTAATGCAGTTTCAAGTTTTTGGACATTTTATGTTAAGGTAATATGCAGCACGAACCATGTCATGTTTTCAGTTCCTTCTCCATCTACAGACAGCTGGATAATCAAGTAGTAAGTATCCCTTGCCCTTGAATAATAGGTGTAGTTCACTGCCTACTGTATGAATGTGCACAAGATCCCCAAGTTCATTTCGATCTGACTTCCCGGTCGAAATAAAGAAACCCAATTTGGTTATTTCAGTTGACTTTCAAGGCTGCCTAAGCAATGATCGAAGTAACCGCCAATCAAGTTTGTCCATTTCGGCTAAGAATGCAGAATTCTAAAAAAACAGAGGTGTGATTGGTTATTTCATTCGTTACTACGCTGACCTTATGTGTAACTCAAGAGACGGATTGGTCGCAGCTAAGAAATACTGCATTTTTCTGGCGGTTTGTGGGGGTTTATTAATTGATTTCAGATTGGTATTCGTCGTGGACTGACATCAGTTGGTGGAATATCAGAAAGATAGGAGAGCTGGATAGCTTTTTCGTCCTGGAATAGGGCTCCTCAGCAGCGCGTGCCCATCACCCCGCCCTACCAGGAGCCAAACAGAAGGTATCTAGGTTCTATGGGCACCACGTGGCCATTGAGCCACTGGGTCACCATGGACTAACATCAATTACAGGAATATAGGAAACCCATCACCCAGCCCTATAAGGGGTCAAAACTCGGGACATTGGGGTTCCGTGGTCAGCTCGTTACCACTGAGCCACTGGGTTGGAATTCAATGGTCCACATTTCCTACTTCTGCCAGTTTATGAAATAGCGTGGCATACATCCATTATCGTCTTTGATTAATTGTCCTCATGTTTGACTTGGTTGACTCCATTGGTGACGACTTCTCTTTGGAACTCTGGAAATCACCTCTCGAAGCCAGTCAACAATGAGCGCTTGATGGGATGTAGGTCATGCTATATCGTGAACTGATGGAAATCGTAAATATGAACCATTGAATTTCGACCAAGTGGCTCAGTGGTAACGTGCTAGCCACGGAACCCCAAGATCCCAGGTTCCATCCCTAGTAGGGTGGTTTAATGCTTTTTCAATATTCCCCCAACTGATATCAGTTCATGATGAATTGTAACTTAAGAACACTGAATTAGCTTACACATTTATGAACTGTTCTTCTTCATACTTTTCAGGTAGATGTAAAGAATTTCCGATTTTTTTCAACTGATTAATACATACAGTAACAGAAACGATTCTGAAAATGTTCTAGATATATGGAAAATTCTACTACTCCTATCATCATAAAAAAGGAGAGAAAAGTTGAACTTTGTAAACTTAGTCTCAAATTGTAGAGCTACCTGATATGAATATGAACAATAATCTACGTTGGAAAGGTTATCCAGTAAATGAGACTGTTCCTTCACTATGCGACATATCCAATTAACAGAATAAACTGAAATTATAACCGATCATAATGCTGAAGTTTTTCTCCACTTTTAAGTACAATGTCGTTATCATTTGAACAAGTACAGATTTCATCATTACAGCAAAAGTAAGAAAGACTCATTGAAATGCTGAGTACAAAATTATCACTTTTGTCTATGGTTGACATAGAATAGATGAATGTTATGTTTGCGTTTAGCTCGATTCCTGAGTTTTATTTTGATACAGAAAATGGTCTAACATTTTTATCCTACCTTGTAAGAATGAAAGATTTTTTTGATGGGGAATATGCCACCATTAGTTCTGCAACAAAAATTGGAGTGGAATGAATATTCAACGTACAAGATATTTATCCTCTCAAAGCATCTTATAGACGTTAGGTTTAATAATCCCAGTGGAATTTTAAATCATTCATTCATTATAATTGCCTGAAAATGGTGGAAGCAGCATCCAAAGGTGACATGGAGAGGATCATGTGAGGAAGAAATGCAAACTTCTGGGCGGTCATGGAGTCAGGTTGAAAAGGTTGCAGAGAACAGAGTGGAATGAAGACGTACTACTCAAGCCCTATTCAAGTTCCACTAGGAAACCAAAGGACAAATAAATTATAATTGCCTGAAAATGGTGGAAGAAAGTGATGAAGATTACTTCATGTATGAAAGTTGAGTTAGTTTAAAGTCAAGTAGATTGAAATTATGTTACACTTCTCTGATGACCAGTTGAAATACTAATGGTTTAGCTTAAGTTCTTTAATCGTTCACGGATACTGATATTTGAAAGTAAATTTTGTCAAGACGCGTAAATAGCCCTACACATAGTTACTTCAGAATGATAACAAGTCGTCAATCTGAAGGGTGATGCTTCAATGGTGTAAAACAACAAGGAGAACTGCCATCACCAATGTCTGCAAATTCCATTCAGTCACAAACAGCAGAAACAAGAGTTATACGAGTCCAAACGTCAACAGAAGCCCACGCAGTGTCCGTCTACAACCCACAAATTTCAACAAACAACTATACAACACAAACAACTCACAGAAACTATCATCATATTACAACTGAGGAGAGCTGTATTCTCTGAAACATTATCCTGATAAACACTACACACATGTGAGATATAGTTTAGAAGATGGATTGTGCACAAAACCCAATCGTCTGCTTCATCCACATCAATCTTTTATAGGCTTGATCCAATAAATCACATTCATGCAACACAACTTCACTCTCAATCGAATGGTCGAATTCGACGCTTTGTGGACGGACATATTCGAAAGAGCCTTGTGGAGAGTAGAAGTGTTGGATGATGTCAAATCAACAAATAACACCTGACTGTTGAATCATACATACATGATGTGGAGAAGCACTTCGTAGGTGTAAACTCCGACTTGATGTCGACAGTATTGTGTTGATAGTGGGGGAGGGAAGAAGGAGCATGCGAGACATGAGGTGGAGTTTGTTCCATTGAAACCATGTGGTGTAGACTACGTTAAATGCTTGAAAGAAGGTGGTAAGTTGTATTGTCAGTTTGTAGAGAGCATGAAGTGGACAGACAATGTGGTGTATGAAGTTGGTGATGGGAGACTGCTCGCTATTCAGATGTATGAAACACGTATGTGGTAAATTGAGACGTGTGTAGTAGGTGATTGGTGAATGAGTCAACTTCTGATGGATGTTATTTTTGTTGGTTTTGTATTGATTGATGTTTAGTGAAGTGTGATGATGTTTGTAGTTGTGTTGGCAGAGGGAATAAATATCACGAGGTTGAGAAAGATGATGAGTAGGCTGAAGATGAAGGCTTGTCATGTAGGGTGTGAGAAGTGGATGGATGATTCATGAGGTGAGGTGGTGAGGTGAGGTGGAATGAGTGAGTGAGTGAGTGATGGATGTGGTGACTGTAGTGAGTGGGTGTGGTGGTGTTATGTGGTGGATAGTAATGAATGTTGTTGATATGTTGATCATTGTTCTTATCGTTTGACGTTGTGATTATCCCGCCTACGCGTCTTATACATAATCAACTTCCCACAAATTTTTCTAAATGGATAATGCTAAAGGTTAGCGGAGCAACAAATGAAACAGCCAATTTGCCTATTCTTTTTCCTTAAAATCTACCTTTCTAGCCGAAATGGAGTAACGTAGTGTTGAAGTCGTTGCCAAGGTGGCTTTGGAAGTTTTTCATGATTTTAGTAGCTGTAGTATGTACTGAAATATGATAACTCGGGAGATAATAATAACCGAGACCATCACCATCATTTCTCGCTGTTCATTGACTCAGCCTTTTTGTAATTAGTTTGAGCAGTGCTGATAAGTCTACAGCTAGTGCGAAACGACCATTCAATATTCCTAGGCTTTTAATGCTTCTCCAACTGCTCTCAGGGCGTAAGGATTGCCTACCTACAGTCAGTCCATCTCTCAGGCATCCAATTTGAAGAAGCCATTATTCTGTTGTGCAAAATTATTTGAAGGATGGAGTTTACCTGCAAACTTCAGTTTTTCATTACTTTCTATGTTCGTTTAATACATGAAAATACTGCTGTTAAAACAAGGCCATAATAGATAATTGTTACACCTTTTGATCATTTAAGTGTTTTACCAGTAAGTAGTTTTCATAGGTGATAAACAGCCCTGAATTTTGATCTGGAAAAAGTTCATTGACTGGATAATCGATAAAACAATCCATTCCATCAAGGTCATTTTATGCGGTGTCCAGAACATTGTGTTCAACACTTCTTCTTCCTCTTTTTTAGTAAGTTATCAGCAAGCGTCTGTAAGGCAGGTCAATTAATCAACGACGTTTCTCATGGCTGAATAGTTTTTGAATTCTTTAACTGTGGTTTCAATAAGTTTTTCTATTAGGAACCACAATATCTTATCTCTGATCCAAAGGTATCATGTACTAAGGAAGCATACTGTTGAATAGTTCCAGTAGTTGGAAGCCATTCAGGCTGTGATCTGTAGAATTCGCCAGCCAGTTCAGAGTTCTATGTAGTGAATTCGTCTAGGTGAACTCCGATGATGAACTCGGCCCCGAACAAACGAGACGGCTCTCCGAAGTCTAAATCATTATGATCTGGCTGGTGAAATCTATAGTTCACATCCTTAATGGTTTCAGAGTACTCAACCACAAAGGATGATGAATCTTCATCAGAACTAACAATCTCATACAAGCGGCTTATTCACTTTGACGAGATAAAATTGTACCTTAGTCCTATCAGTATTTTTCTTTTCCTACGTGGTAGGCTTGAAGAGCTAACCGAAAAACGAAGTAATTAGTCACAAAGAAGTTCTATAAATAAATTATTTTTATCATTGCTCGGGGCTGAGTTTTTCACTGCGAGCGTGTCTTGTTAAAATTTATATTTTGTCCTTATTTCTCATTGGTCAAGGTACCTCAATAACTATTGAGAGAACCAGAGTGAAACAGACACGTAGCGGTTGATGTGTCTAGCAATGTGTTGTGTTTCACGTACAAACATTTGTCTGCGTTGAAAATAAGTAAGAGGAACCACAATACAATGAAGTTTAGCCTAACCCAAAATGGATGGACCTCTCACTCTATTTGTCACTCGTTCGATTGTTCATCGTGTTTTGTTTGTCTGTCATCTATGCCTTTATTAGTTTACAGTAAAAAGCTCCGCAGCGTTAGTGCAGCCATAAGCTCAGGCCAGTAAAGAAAAAGACCACGCTCAATGATTGGCTAAAAACAACAAGCCCAATCAGCCAATCAGAATGACCAACTGCGACCTGCAGTTGGTCTACAGACCGTGGTCTTTCTTACGCCCTCTGTTAGGCTAGTTTTCGCCTGACATAAAAGGGTAGAAAATGAAACGAGAATTATTTGGACCCCTCATCTATTTTAGGGCGTAAACGGACTAGCCTACAATCCAGTTAAAAATTCATTCTGCCCTATCACCCCGCGTGGGTGATATATGCATATTGGCAATTGTAATGAAAAAGCTTGCCTCCTAAGCGGGATAGATGCCCTTACATTCAATCATTAATATTTGGTTTCTGTAAAAATTGGATTTACCTACATTGTGTAACTATCTAAATTCTGTCAATTATTGTATAATTCTTCGATCGCATTTCTCCTCCGTGCATTTACCAATTTACTTGGATTTTGTAAACAAAACAAAGAAAATCAATAAAATGCTTCATCGACCAAGTCTAATGCCATCATCAATGAAATCATCCTGTAAACTCTCTGTACCTACAAACGCATCACAAAGTTCATCTCACTCCATGAAGACAGAAAAACCGATTTCAAGTCAATTCTTCGATTATGCTAATGATGATGAAATAATTGTTCTTGAACCTACAGATCCAGATGAAGATCGTCTGAAACAAGAAGAAGCGGCAGCAGCAGCAGCAGCTGCTGCAGTAGTAGTAGTAGAAAAAACAACTAAGGAGGAAGAGGAGGAAGTAGAGTATGCTGATGATGGTGGTAATCACGATGTACAAATGAACACAGTTGAACCGCCTACTTCTACTAACTGTATCCCCGTGTTTGAGAATAAAATCGATGCACCAACAGTGATCAATCAAGTCCCTATCACTGTTACTACACGAACACCTAGAACAATCGGGATCCTACCATTGAACGATACTGTTCAAACGATGCTGACATCTACACCACGTACTCCTATACAAACTGTTTCATTCCAGCCAATATTACCGGCTAGAGTTAATTCTACAGGAAATGCACAGAACACCTGTGTTGTCTCCACTGCTTTGCCTACAGTATGGCTTCATTCACCTATAGCTAATACAACCAGTATTAGTCTATCGAATGTGACTAATACTGTTAATGAATTGACGAATAATATAACACAGAATAATATTGCCTTGAATCCTCTTGTTGCTGCTGTTCTCGTCAATTGTGCTACAGTGAATATGATAAGTCAACTTGCTGGATCTATGTGTACACCAACTGTCAGCGCTACCACAAATCCCAATAGTAGTAGTGTTGTCAATACTCCCAATGGAGTTAATACTATAACAATACCTTCAGCTTCCTTGTTGCCTAATTTATTATCTTCTATCCCTTTGTCTACATATATACCTGGATTATCGTTCAATGCAAACACAGGTGTTTTAACTACCCCAAATACTCTATCAACCAATAAAACGATGATCTCAAGCACAGCATTGAATACTAACAATATTGGTAGTATTATTATTACACCGTCAAGTATTGGAAACACTTCTATTACACTACCTTCAGATCAAACTACAAGTCAAGCTGATTATTTACATTTATCTGATAGTAAAAATCCTCAAAAATCATCTGGACGTATAAAACGTTTTAAATGTCCTTTGCCTAATTGTGAAATGTCATTCTATAGTAGATTTAATCAAATGGAACATATACGTACGCATACAGGTGAACGTCCATTCACTTGTCCTGAACCACAATGTACTGCAGCATTTAAACGTCGACGTGATCTTCGTGATCATTGGAATATGCATCTATTAGATAATCCACCTTCAGCTACATTAACTGAAGAAGAATTCAATAAGGCTATGAAAGAAGCTGATGAAAAATATAATGCAATGTATAACCTTGAATCATTTCATTTAAACAATTCAGTAAATAAAGATGTTGACAAGTCAACAGTTGATAAAATCGATACTCCTCAAACTTCAGTTGTAATTCCTGATCCTAGAGCTTTGTTCACTAAACGATCTGTTAATGAATTAGGCAGATATCATTGTACATATCCTGGTTGTGATAAATCGTATGCTAGACGGCATCGATTGAATCAGCATATATCAACGCATACTGGCACTGGTCCAATTCCTTGTGATGAACCTAATTGTCATGTGAGGTATTTTTCAGAGGAGGATTTGCAACGTCATAAACTGTCACATTTATATGCAGCTGATAAAAGTTCACGTCGTCGACATGTTTGTACCTATCCTGATTGTGATAAAGCTTATTCAAAGTTGAATAAACTCAAGGAACATCTTCGATCGCATACTGGTGAAAGACCGTATGTTTGTCGAGAACCTGGTTGTGGTGCTGCATTTATTCGCTTATATGGTGTTAAACGTCATGAGTTGACTCATGTATTCGGTCGAAAACGTACTAAACGACTTACACGATACAATACAAGTCTACCGAATATTACAAATGGAAATATTTTAGATCCTTCAGGTCAAAAATTTGGCGGACAATTGAATCCAGAGCTCACTGCTGCTTTAAATATCTTGAATAATAAGTCATCAGACCAAGCGGACTCAAAAGTAAACACTTCAACTGGATCATCTGTTATGAAAAATCGTCCTCTTCCTGCAATTGCACCAAAGTTACCTACAACCCTACCTATGCGTCCCATCTCTCCAATTAATGGGAATCCAGGTATGAGACGACCTCATGTTTGTCCATTTAAAGAATGCGGTAAAGCATTCCCTAAACTGAACAAGCTACGAGAGCATATCTGTCGGCATACAGGTGAACGACCTTTTGTCTGTGATAAATGCAAGGCTTCATTTGTTCGTATGTATGACTTGCGTCGTCACACTAATATTCACCTACGAGGAGCACAACCGAGAAGTTTGTCCCGATTCTACACCACTCCATCTTCAACAAATGATACCTTGGAACCTACTGGTATGGTGGATAACTCTACTGTCTCATATCTTAGTACTGATATGTCCGTTGATGAAACTACTGTTCCACCTAGTATTGTTATCACCACAACTACTGTTACTACAACCAATACTATTGCTTCTGATACTACACCAATCATTACAAAACTCGAAGAGACACTAGTTAAGGTGGAAAACACCAATGAACCGTTAATAATTAAACCATGTGACAGCCAACAATCATGATCAGGTAACCGATTGTATTCATGATAAAATTCTACCATGAATTTCAATTATTTCCCACCATTTGTAGGATAAGTAACTTCACAAGTTGATCATCAACTGTTCCACAATATTCTTGCCTAAGTTATATACAACATCCATCCCTATGTGTGTGTGTGTAGTTGTAGTTGTTTTACTTCTATGTTGCATATAATGATAATGACTGACCTTGTAATTTCATTGACTTATTTCTTTTTATTATTAGTAATTCATTATTGAAGGCCGAATTTGATTTGTTGCTTCTGTGTATCCAACACTCTTTAGTCACAGTTATGCACATTTGTAATTGGTTTTGTGTGTATGTGTGTGTGTAATATGAGAAGAAAATTTTTAGAAAAGAGACGAAACAATTCTCCATTATTTTTCATGTTTATTAAATTTAGTGATCAAATTCGTGTATTTCATGTCATTTTTCAATGTTTAGTGCATACATTGCCCATCTACTCTGTGTGTGTGTGTGTGTGTATTTTCTGATGAGAAATCATCTCTGTGATAATCTATCAAACATTGAAATGAGAATAAACTCTATAATGAGTATTGATTTTATGTTTGCGTTTATTGATTTATTGATCCAAAAATGGTTTGAATAGTTCAGGTTATATGATGATGAGTCATATATATATATGTGTTGACCTTTCGATGCTTAGTGTTTCGTTTGAATGCGTGAATCCACTTCATGAATATCAAGAATTTGTATAAAGTAAGGACTTGGAATTTTGTCTTTCAGGCTTGGTTTCTAACCTAATGCACTTGTCATGAGACCAGACTAGTTCTGATTTCCACTTCACCCTTGGGATCGTTGGTGGGCACTACTGCTTATTGGAATGAGACAAATGTCTAGTGTTCTCAGACTCTCAGTACTTCTGCAAATGATGCCGGCCGGTGACGAATACCACCTTAAAACTTGGCCACTATGGTAGAATATAATTCCATTTCAGGTAACTTTACAACTTTGAGACATAGCTTATGTAGTATTATTGCTTGTAGTATACCGTCGTTGGTTGGACCGAATCTATCGGCCTCTGTTATCATATGGGCTCCTATGTGGATGCCTCGATAAACCTGTGTTCTAGTTATAAAGATGGGTGGTGGCTAGCAGTGGAGTCCAGGATGCGCATTTCGTCGTATTTGGGACTCATCAACTGGGTGTGCCTTCCTCCCGGTGAGTGATGTTGTTCCCACAAGGATTCCAACCCAGGAGCGATCTCTTCAAACACCAGAGCATTATCCACTACACCGCCGAGCCACGATAACCGCTTCTTATGCGATGGGTAGTTTTAGTATTATTGCACAGGAGCCCATATGCCAATACAGACCGGTCAATTCGGTCCAATCAACGACGGTATAATACAAGCAATAATACTAAAACTCTACCTGCCACATAAGAAGCGGTTATCGTAGCTCGGTGGTGTGGTGGATAACGCTCTGGCGTTTGAAGCGATCGCTCCCAAGTTCGAACCCCGTTGGGAACATCACTCACCGAGAGGAAGGTACATCCAGTTGACGAGTTCCAAATAGGACGAAATACGCATCCTGGACTCCACTGTCAGCCACTATTCATCCTTACTATAGCTTACGTAGTCGTCATTTTCTTGCCTGTTTTGACATACAGCCAGTAGGAGTTTCCATGTATTCGGAGTCATTCGTGTTGCATGTATTTCGTTTTGATTCTATGAATAGGTTCAGTTGCCAGTTCCATCCTCTATACATTTAAACTCAACGAGTAATTCCATAGGTTACCTTAATAAATACCGAAATGACCGATTACAGTTTTTTGTTTGTTTGAAAACTGCCTTTTCAGGCAGATTAAAAAAAGGTTATTTGTTCATTTCAGTGGTTGCTAGGATAACCTTTGGTGCCAATGGACGTAATCTAATTTACCTGTGAATTAGAAAAGAGTGAAAGGAAGTTAGAGATGTTCGATTGCGAAATAAAACGAAAACAAGTTAGGATTTCATAAACTACGTGTCCTTGGGGAAACCTTTTCATTTGAATCATAGATGTAAATACCGTTAACAATAATGGTGACATTATGAAGACATAGTGTTCCGAACCTCTACGGCGTTACTTACCATAAAAAGGAGACACGCCAGTGATGTAAAGTAAGATTTTCAATAAGGCTGGGATACGGGTAACGTTTAAACCAAAAAACTCACTTAGGAACAGGTCTAATGGATTGAATGATCCTATCGACCCAATTAAACATAGAAAAATTTAATTTACGAAGCTCCTTGTATTGATTGTGAGGTTGAATACATAGATCAAAGTAGTCAACCAGGGCTAGTTAAGCTGTTCAAGTACAAGATTAACAGACTTTTGTCAGATAAAAAATCTAGAGGAAAACTCCAGGTAACTATACTTATCACTACACACAGCCAAATGTTTAATGATAGGAAGTGAAGTGGTGGAATATGGAGGTGGAGCAACGCGAAAGCGTTGGTTGCTGACGAAATCTCAGCTCGGTTATATGAGACCCGTTCGATATTTCTCAACTTGCATCACCTGTGGCGCCGGTGAGATATTCAACTATCTTTCAAAGAGGGAGTATACTGTGCTGCACACCTTTCTGTCCTATTGTACGGCTAAAAGACATGGTCGTCAAAAGTACAAGACATGAAGTAGTTACATCGTTCAGATCATAGGTGTCTTAGTAACATTGTTCGCGTTTGCTGGAGTCACTGCGTGAACAATATTAAAGTCAAGCAAAGGGTACTAAGGTAAACAGGCAAGTCAGTCAACGATGTTGTAAAATTGCAGTGACGGAGACGACTTGAACATCTAGTGCGCATGTCGAGCAACTACCTGCCTCTATGTGCAGTGGTAGCAGAAGTTGGACCAGGTTGGAAGAGGGTCCAGGGTGGCCAGGTCAACACCTGACATCAGTCGGTGAAGTCTTTTACCGTTGGTCTGAGTCGTATGGGGCGGTGTATACTACCTGGTTAGGGTCTCTGAGACGAAAGAAATCAGTAATTGAGGATTCTTGGTTATATGATTGAGAGTTGGTTACAATGACGCAGATGTATTCACTGCTAAACATCTTCCGAAGCTTGAATAGTTACACTAGCCCTTATTCACGAGGTGTTTATTCTGTCACATAACTTTGTCCTTTTCTTCTATTCACTCGTTCTTTGTATACAACTGTGAAGTGTGCCAACTTGAGCCGACGCATTTGTGTATGAGGTTCTATGTTGATGTTGTCAGCCAGTCACATGAACGAGTGGACTACTGTAACAGTCTGTAAAATTAAATTAATAGAGAACGTCGGAAGATGATGTGGAAGAAGCCATGAAGGATATTTCTAGGAGACAATGATGTGCTTCGATATAAGAGTGAAACTTGGGCACCATCATTGAATGTAATGACCGGTGGGGTAAACCAAGTCGTACGTGAAGACAGTCACTCAACGGCGGCACTGGGTGAAGGTTGCGCTACACCGTGACCTAGTACAAGTGGAAGGCTGTAAATCATTGTCTTCCTACCCAGCAGGTCACTGGTAACGTACTAGCCAAGGAACCTGAAGGCTCGGGGTTCGAGTCCTGGAGTGGTCGCAGGCGTGCACCGCTGAAGAATGCCATATTATGACGAAACGGCTGTCCGTTGTTCCTGGATTTCCATTGTTTCCTCAAATGGTGCCAGTCCGTGATGAATACCAACTTGTAATCCCAGTGTTTCATACACTGGAGGGACATTTCGGAAGCAATTTGTTGTCCAAATTCATATCAGGATAACTTGACAACTTTGAGACGGTTTATATAGGTGACCTTCTTTGTGGTATAGGTAGGATTTCGCATATATGGTGAACAGGTGGTGAGTCACTTCTATTGCGTGTATTTGGTTTCGGCCGGATAAACAATGATTCGATCATCGCTCCCTTCCCCCACTACGCTGGATTAGTCATACAGCCTATGACGTACGTAATTGACCTCACATTCGTTGCAATAGCGTTGATAAATTAATTTTTTGGTCGAATTGGATCTATAAAATCCCATCCACCTAAAAAGCTTGTTTCTTTGGCGACTTCAAAGGCCACCCTGGCAACTTCTAAACTAACCAATCAGGTTTAAGTATTCCGACTGTAAAGATAGTTCCTCACAGAATAGAAGGACGTAATTGGTTATCTCAGCAGTTGCTGGTACAGCCTTTGAAGTCATTTATATATCACTAATTTCGGACTGACTTCAAAGACCACTCCAGCGACTGATGAAGTAACCAGCCAAAATTCTGCCACCTGATTGGTTTATTTTGACAATTGTTGTTAGGGTGGCGTTTAAGTCACTAATTTCAAGTGTCCAAGACTAACTGTAAAGGGCACCCTAGCAACTGCAGAAATGGCCAGTCAGTTTCTTGTAATTCACCCAATAAAGTACTTTCAATAAAATTTAAGACAATAATTAGTAGTCCCATCAGTTGCTAGGGTGGTTTTAAAGTCATCTGACCTTAAAAGCCACCCTAGCAACCGCATAAATAACCAATTTGAGTGACTTTAAAGGTCACCCTAGCAACTGTAGAAATAACCAATCAGGCTCCTATATTTAGCTTAGTAAAGCATTCTCCCATAAAAGAGAGGATCATAATTGGCTGTCTCACCAGTTACCAGGGTAGCCTTTGAAGTCATACTCCAATTTTGTTTCCTTATTTCGACTGGAGCTGCTATATTAATAGAATATAGAAGTCTAATTGGTTATCTTGATCGTTGTTAGGGTGACATTTAGAGTCACTACTATTTTCAGCCTTGTTAAAAATCTTACGTGGTGTATATGACCTGACTTCCTCCACTATCACCAATATGATTATTATTATTATTGGTATTCACAACCATACCGTTGAATATGGTACTCCTGTCTAGTAGTGCCCATCTTCGCACCCAGAGAAGTTATGTCAATAATGGTATACCACTACTCTTCCACTCTTTATATTCGACTTGCAATTTCTGTGTATTTTCCATGAATCTTGTTCTCTTATGCCTGTCTGCCCTTTTGGACTTGTAACCTTCACGCTGATTGGTTGCCTTTGTCTTTGCGATTGATTTTTTGTGTACGGACTGGTCTTAATCATTTGGTTAGTCTACTAGTTGAATGAATAAGATCTTAATTTTGACTGCATATTATCGATTGAAGTGACTCCCTCCAAAGGCGATTGTAAAAATAAGCGAAGTAATCAATTAAGCTTCTGTGTTGTATACAAATCTACTTTTCCAGTCGAAATAAAGAAGCTTAATTGTCTATTTCAGTCATTTCTGGTAATAATTCACATTTTACAGTACTGCCCTGTTAAAAACCTCAATAATAATCCTGTTGCTATTGAAAATTCGTGGACAAGTTTGACTAGTAGTGGGGATTTTTTTTCAACTTGCTATTCATCGTGGACTGACATCAATTGGAGAGACATTGGAAACTTGGGGTCACTGGACGGCTGTTTCGTTCTAGTATGGGATGCGTCAACAGTGTGCACCCTCGACCCCGTCATGGACCGAACCCGTGACCTTCAGGTTCCGTGGACAGCACGTTGCCATTGAGCGACTGAGTCGGTGGCCGTGAGGACAAATACTCAACTATCACATTGGTTGATGGTCGCGCTGTCTCGTGAACTGACAGAAGTTGGAAATATGGATCATTGGATTCTAACCCACTGACTTAATGATAGCGTGCCGGACACGGAACTAGAAGGTCAAGGGTCCGATCCCTGGTGGGGTTGTGGGTGCACACCTCTGAAGAGTCCCACACTAGGACGAAACAGCTGCGGAGTGCTCCCAGGTTTCCATTGTTCCTCCAACTGATGTCAGTTCATGGTGTATAC